AAGATCAAGCTCGTTGATCAGTTATTCTTGCGTCTACTTAATTTTCTATTGTGACCAGTTTCAAATCTTCGATTTTTCTGTCACGTGATTCATATTTATGTTGTTGGTTTGTAAGTGAGCAGATAACACGAAATGGTTCCATCTCGCAATACCAGTCTTCTCATTGTCTTATGTAGCATGATAAAGGGAACTCAATGCTTTAAATATGCATTATGTTATTTTCATGTCACTTTCACACATACATGTTGTTCAGGGTGTAGTACAGAAGACTGTGCTGACGTTATATCCTCCGTTAACGCATATCCGTCGATCTGAACCAGCGTTGTCTGACCAGAAGACGGAAATGGGACTTTCGTACATGAGCAATTCTTTCAAATCCCCGCTGTCGCACAATACAACTTAATCGATCGATTAAAAACGTTCAAAAGTCCCAGTTCGTAGTGGACTCAGCGAGGACATTAAATAAACTGGTATCAGGATAGGTAAGAAACGTATATAAATTGATTTCCAGTGAAAATAAATAAAGTGTAAATTTCTGACAACGAATAATCTAACTAGATAGACATCGGTTTGCAAGGAATACATAAAATTTAGCCAGCGTTCTTGTAATTTTCCTAATGGTTCTTTCGGGACATCTAAAAATACTGACTCATGCGGAAAACCTTACGCTGTGAGAAAAATACTTTAGAATGAAAGAAAGATTCTACTAGCAACAGACTCTGGCGCGAAGTATAATGAGAGCGAAAGTTGCATCATTTGGTAAATGGCAACATTTAAGTGCGACTCATAATTTTTAAATTGTCAAACGAAGTCTTAAAAGTCCGGCATAGCACATGTGCTCATGAGTTGTAATGGAAAGCTTTATGGCCGCTATACTCCTGATTATTACGTCATACAGTAAGGCTTGTGTGCTTCACCAGCCATCACCTCTGTGGTTATTCTGAATGATGTTAGTTTTTATTTCGCCAACGTATAGTACGAATAATAGTATAAGCGTGGAAGAGCAGGTCTGAAAAAATAGGAGCTGGGTGTCCACCCATCATTGAGCCTGAGATTTAACAGGCGCATGGTGGGAAATGGAGCCAGGTAAAAGGGAATTTCATGGAGATAGCCAAGGTAGAGTGTAGTGCCGGTCGCAAATCCTGGAAGTCCGGCTATGCGAGATGACAGGGGCCACTGTCTCGCGGTTAACTTTCGGGCCAGGTTAAATGAATAAGAAATATTGAAGAACAAGGTGATAATAATGTACGGAAAAGGATTTGGCTTCCCATTCTGCCAATCTACCCGTGTTGACATTAACAGATGGCGAGCGTGTTAGTCTGGTAAAAGTTATGGTGAGGGCCAAGATGAGGTGAAGTGGAGTGACAAAATCCTGGGTCACATTTGTTGTTTCATCTGAAGAATAGTTAACCAACTATTTGGAATGTTATGATGTGTAGTACCGATGTAACCTTTTTTAAACCAAAACAAGGCAAAATAGGAAATCAGCTGATCAGTGACCAGTGCGGGACGGTTAGGAGAGCCAGTGAAACTAAGTGAACCGAAATCTTCTAACTTTAGACAACCCGGTAGCCCAAGTGGGGCAACTAAAGCATTGACCACAGTAATAAGAAAGTAAAAGAGATAGATAAGCCGGGTCAAAAGTTAATGTACGAGGTGAAATCTAAGCCGAGCAGAATTTTGAATGCGGTAGATATGAGGCTCACTCTTCTGTCGGGCCTCTCATAAATATCGTCTAGATATGTAGATTCGCCCAGTATACATGATACCTACTTTTCCTCGAAATATGTGCTTAATGTTGTAACATCTAATGGATTCGGATAGCTTATTCCATAACTTTGTATATCTTAAGAAAAAATTTGGCGCGCAGTCTTGTACGCACTCTATCGACGCAAAACCTGGATGACGTATTTCTAGTTGGATATTGGTGGCAAGTACCAAACTGAACAGTATCTGGTACCCCAGAGCTGGTATGCGCTCAATCAAACAGGAAGATAAGCTTAATCTTAATTCTTCTCAATCATAATGGTTCTAGCTTCAGCAGTTTACACTGCTATCAATAAGTCAAGGATCCAAACCCAATAACCTTTTGGCTGTTGGTTGCTTTTGGTTGCTTTTGTCGTACCTATTTAAATTTGTGAATACTTATGGACGATGTTCTACGACTGGGCTCGCATATGCTTTATACCTAGAGTCTTTCAAGTGTAACGTATTGAAAATACATGCTATGATAAATCTCGGTTCAGCAATGACTTGAGGTAGCTGTTCGGCGAAATTGAGAGAGTTTGAGTAACGAACTTCGAGGTCACGTATCATTATACAGCAGGTAATTGGTTTGTCATCTAATTTCAGTATGTCTTCAGATATCCCAATCTGGTTACGTGGAACCAAATCCTCATCTTCGTAGGACAAAAGAGTGTATCATTATCGCTTACGACGACTTGCGGTATCCCTTCCCTACGGAAGCACTTCCGTAATTTTCATAGCGAACTCAGCACTCATGTTCTTGGTCCAGAATATTTCAGGTCATCGCAAATAGGTACCGGTCACTACCAATTCATAGTAGTGTGTTAAAATGGTCCACAAACTAACATGGTTAGGTGCTAAAGTCCACAAGATTTAGGCTATGGCTCCCAATCTCTCAGTTGCAGAAGAATTTTGCATTAGCCATTAATACAGCCTGTTTCCATTTGGCATTAATTTCAGACCGCAAACACATTTGTCAGATCAAGAATTTCATTTTACCTATGCTTGTTTGACTATGATACAAATTCTTCAGTTGGTGAAATTAATGTCTGGTCATTTTTGCACGGAAATCCCTCATGTTGGATTACAAAATATACGCAGGTATCACTTCTGAAACTTCTGCCTCATTTTTAATGATCATCTTATTTTCATAACAGAAACCGCAGTACGAGTTTCGCGAACCAGTTGGCTGCATGACAAAAGTGTTGGTTGGGTAGATTAACACATCGAAAGCCTTAGAGAACTTTGTGGTCTGCGATCTGCACAGTCTGTACATACTGTCAGATCCAGAACCCACCTTTGGGAGCATTACGGCCGATATCTTGGATATGAGATCGCTGGGCTTTTATCGGTAACGATTGTCAACGGCGTGCCTAAGATAATCGGCTCAGATTCGGCCGTTCTCCATCCTAATGGTTTTTGTGGACCGCCAGTTTCTTCTGTCTCATGCGATGTTGTGCCTTAGTTATCGAACTCCAAATTCATGTGCGCCGAAGAACAGATGAACAGTTCCACTATCTCTTCAGTGGCGAAGTGAACCATAGAGCTGGTTGATTTTCCAAGAGAAGTCTTAAGACGGATCTAAATGCGTTACTATGGTCCATAGAAATCTGGCCGGTGGTGGCGTATTAATACACCACACCTAAAGTACATGGGACTTTGTTAGTTCACATTTACATAAGCAGAACTGACCGTCGGTTAGCTCACAGTGTGCCTGCAAGAGTGTGTGGAACCAACGATGATGTAACAAAACGAAGCGGCTCGAAGCGTGAACCAGAGCCAGTCATCATCATCCATTTCCAAGCATCTCATCATGTGTACTCGGAAACCACGTTCAATATGCTATTACGCAACAGAACCCGATAACGTTCGCAGTTAATGAGACGTTGCTGATTGCGGCGCATGAATCTGTACTTTGTGCACAGCAACTGTTAAGACAGGTCGCCTTGGTCTGGATTGTGACATGTTGTTACCATTTCTTCTACACATATAATCGTACATGTGTTTTGCTTGCATTGCGTCTTCGACGGATGAGATCAGTCGAACTGTTAACAAGTGTATGCAGCACAAGACATAGCATTCCACTTAACGACCTCTTTATGGGCTTGTATCGTGAGCAGGCGTCATTCATCTTGGATTAATAGTCGTCTGTTTGCTGGCACCAGTGGACCGAATGACGCGTCGCTTCTTATCACTAGTATGTCAGAACTTAATAATATCTTTGCAAAATCTTACGATAATGGAGCAATAATTGACCCATCGTCTCATACCCTCGGACCTTTCCACGTCCAAATGAATTGTTCAGTTCTCCGGTGCTTCAATTATTTACGCTCGGTTTTAATCAGGACAGTGGCCAGCGACATTGCATTAATCTGAGACGTGTCCTTGCACCTTGAAGGCATTCAGGGTTTTCTTTTCGTAATCACCCAGGACTGACAGAGTTTACTAATGCACTCAACCTGAACTTATGCAATGGATGGTTTCCGAAAATACATAGGTTTACAAATAATTTGCAAATGGAAGTGCTCAGCCAAGCACTCCATACCTCTACGCAAGTCGGATATTGGTGATCCCTCAAATCCACATATAGCCTCATTGATGCTGCATCTTCGGTAACCAGGAATTCGAGTGGTCCTATTTGGTTATCTTAGTTGATGCAAACGGCGAAGAACGCGTTGCTGCTGTTTTTTACTCTTTTTACGGGTTCTACATCAATTTGATGTCGTTTCCGCTCACGCCAGTGATTGGCACCTTGATAGTAAATTTTTCATCGATTCTCCTTGCTTCTTCTGAAGCTCTAATAGTCTATCTCTTTCTACTGCCCCTTGCTGACTACCAGGTGATGACTTGCTTTTCACCTACACTAATATTCAGTCCTATCCCTTATTTTTAGAAGTCATTATGGCTACAGACCTTGCCATCTGCTCTCTACCATCACTACGACACTGGATGTCATTTGCACTATTAGTCTTCATTCTTAAACCGAACCAATTCCTCAGTCGCCGTCCTATACACTAGTCGCCATGTACTGCTACAGGGCGTGTAACTAGTTTTAACTCACTGGTGCCATTTTTTGTGTCCTTCCTCGCTTTCTGGCTCAAGCCTATCTGGACGGTGCCCAGGAATGGTCACCTGTGAGTTTATATCGAAAAGCATACTATCCGAACGTTTGCTATCGGCCACGTGAATCACTACTCTTCGCAGACTTCACACTCCCTAAATTGTAGTACACCTTCCGCTTTTCTCTCTGTTAGGCCCGGAGTCACCTCAACCACCTACTCAACAACTGAAACGCTTGAGGCGCCCGCTCACCCCGGAAGAAAAAGCTCTGGCTTTGCGTCTTATTCGGTCGGCCAAGTCTCGCCGCGAACTCATCGAGTCTAACTACCATCGGATGCAGTTTTTCGAGGATCCATCGGAGCTACCTGATTGGTTTGTGGACGATGAACGTAAACACATGCGGAAACCCTTACCGATCACTAAGGTGATTTCTGGTTACCTGTTAACTATCGCTTCTTTATATTGTGTCATTTTAATATCACTCTGAATACTCTCTTAAGCCCCTTCGCCAACACTGCTGTAGGATTGCGATAATATCTGTTTTTCTCCAGCATTTCAATGAGACTTGTCTCGTCGGGCACACCCTGCTTTCTAGGCCTCATCTTTCCTCTTCTCACCCATTTTCTTTATTTAAGGCGGTTTTTCGTCGCCTATGTGTTATTGTAATTACGCTCTTGGGTTAAATATACGACGTAATAAAATAAATAATAAATCTACGACAAAATGCTGGGCTCCTTAACTGTTTGATCCGCATGCTGCTCTCAACAGATACCCAACTCGAGTCGCCGAAATGGTTGCGCGGCTTCTTCCTCTCAATTTTTCCAATGAATTTTCTCCGATTCTCGCCTTAATTACCTCCAATGTTTTCTGAAAGAAACACTTGTCTGCAGTTTCAACTGTGTCAGTTAGCATCCACGCCTCGTGTTCATAACCAAACGCCCCTTGCGTCGAACCACCAGTAAGAGTCGCACGCTCTTACTTGTCGATCTATTGTACTCTTTGTTTACCTAGCTGCTATCCATTTTTCTGAGTTCACACTCGGCGATAGGCCATTCCACGCATAGTTTAGCTATTTGTCTTACCGTCTCTTATTTCTCTCTTTTGCAAGTAGGCCTTTTGTTTGCGCCTTGCTGCTAGTTATCATCGGCGTATCCGTTATTACCATTCAGCGATGTGGGCTCCAGTGTATTTTATCCTCTCGACAATTTTAAATTGAAGATTTTGGGACTGGAGTTGAGGGTTGTCGTCATGCTTTTTGTTTGTGTTACACGGTCAAAGTGATTCGCCCTGAAGTCCAAGGAATCTGGTTCTTTTCATTCGTTATGCATCTCGACACTTATTCTCGTGTTTTATTGTCACGAACGACTTGTAGATGCGCCCTGGATCACCTAATATTTCTCTTATGCTGTGTTTCTCATGCTTTAGTCTACTTCAATTGGTTTGCCGCTAAAATTAACCAATCGAATAAACTTGAGGCCACCATCGAGATGTACATTTCCTTTTCACTGTCGATAAGCTGTTGCTGTGCTGTCTTTAACTCTTAACTAACGTGCAACACAATTCCCTCCCCTACATTCAGGAAGAGCTTGCAATTGTTCGTCCAACCATGGGTCGGTCTATCAAGAAAGTCGAAGAGGCCAAACGTCGCAAAAAGGCTCGTATGGACAAGCGTCTCAAGCGAATTCGTCAGAAAGCCGAGGATATTCCGGACGATGTCCCAGAAGCGGAAAAATGGCAGCAGATTAAGCAGTATGTTACCCTAAGCCCATCTTCACACTTGTCTTCAGAGGTCAACGCCTTCTCCTTTAACTTCCTTGATCCTCTTAGTCTCTTTCATCTGTAATGCCGTATTTTTATGGCTTATATCATATGGCGAGTTTGTTGTGCTTTGAGTCGGCCGGTGGCCGAGTGGTTGGCACGTTTGCTTTCCAACCATAAGGTCACCGGTTCGAATCCGCGTAGGGGTGGGCGTCCTCGCGGTACACTCAGCCCGCGCGCGACTGGTGGTGGTCGCGCGGCAGCGAAGCGCCGTTACGGCGTATAAGCTGACACATTATTTACATTTGTGCTTTGTGTTCATTCTCAACTAGAGATGTATGTTATGGACCGTTGTTGTTATCTGCCATCTGGTAACACCGGTCGTTCTAATTGTCCGCTTGGTCTGCTTCTGAATTTAAATAAATAAACAAATGTTTTATTCTCGGCAGTGTGGGGCACTCCTGCGAAGGCATGATCGTGATAATACACCCAGGTATGGTCGGTAATTGTGCAAAAATATAGCATGTTGACCAGTAACATATTGGATTTCTGAAGCTGATGTTGCATTCTTGATGCTTCTTCACCGCAGTTGGGCTAAACCAACATACACTTAAACTAAGTATTTTTAAGCTGGCCAAATTTCATTCCACTTTATTTGGTTTGTTCTGCCTACCTGGATAACCTTTAGTTAACTGGTTACATTGCTTACACTAATTGCGCTTATCTTCGGTAACTTTGTTGCGTTTATAGCATTTTTAAGTAACTTGTGGACATTTCTTACTTATCGTGGATTCGTTGCTAACCAACTTACTTCATATGCGACTTTAGCGAAGAGTTATTTATGCCACCGTGTCTGTATGCATTATTGGATTTATTTTATTTCATCTTGTCGTTCCAGGTGATTGGCTGTTGCTTGATATCCCCGGTGTGGCTGCGCTTGATGTGCATGTTGACAAGGTGCCTACCTGTCCATTACCCACTACCTCGTTCATACTGATTCCAGGAGACAGTTGGTCGTTGCTGGAGGGGACGGGGGCACGGTCTTTATGGCCGTGCTAGACTCGAAGGGCGGTCCCATATACTCCGTGTTGAGCGGACTACGGTCCAGCTACCGCCTTGTGTACGCTTGATTCCCCAAATACAGCGTGCTTGTGTTTACCTCTGAAGGAGTGTGGGCCGACTCCGTTGCTGAAACATGGCTTCCATCCACATGCCTCCCGGTCTTATTTCTTCGGGTTTACACTGGATATGGGGTGTGCGGTTGGAACTGTGGGTGGTGCAGCGCAAGCCATCCATGGTCCCTCTGTAGTCGCAGACGTCCTGTGGCAGACAGATCCGAACCCGGATGTCGCCAAACATGTGTTAGTGGCGGGAGTGCCTATGGTGCGCTGAGGCTGCTGGTAGATAGATCCTGACAGATGCTTTACCCACTGCTGCTACTGTTGTGCCATGGGCTCATGTCCTGGACGCCTCGTGGCGACCGCTGGGTTGGAGTTGGGTTACGCCGTTCCCCCTGCTAAGATCCAGGACACCAATCCGCATGAGTCAGTGAACTGACCATGTGCTCGACGCGCTGCCTTTCGGGTGTACGTTTAATCGATGACTTTGGCTGAGGACCCAAGTCGTTCTCCTGTCAGGTGTAGGCGCCGTACCAGTACCCTCGTCCATCCTCTTCAGGGGTTAGGAAGTGGTCGATGGCCCACTTCCCGTAAAACCTAGCCATGGGAGACAACAGGTCTATGGGTTATAAGCTTACAGCTCGATTGGCGTAGAGCGCGAGCGCCACGCATTTTCTCTGACGGTGGGAGAATACCTCCGGGTGTTCAATGGTTTGCTACTGCCTGCCTCAAACCAGCAAGCCCCTAGTCAAATTGGTGCACACTCGCTAAAACCCACCTGCGTCTGGCCGTCGTCGCAGGTGTATCCTGCTGCGGTCACAAAACATATGTGAATCTTTCCAGTACCTCAAAGACTGCGTGTGACGGCCCTCAAGCAGATCCCAATCTGTCTCTGCAATCACATTCCCGAGCTGGATCTGCTCCCTACTGCCTTGTAAGTCAAGATATTGTGCCAAACGCTCTGGGCGGAGTCCCTCAAACAAACCTCCAAACCACCCACTGCCTTGTGGGTCAGGCTACTGAGCCAAAGGCTCCGGGCGGAGTCCCTCAAGCAAACCTCCGAAGCACAACTGCCACCTCGCGTGCGATTGCCGACCAATGCAGTCGCATGGCTGCACGCAAGGCACTCAGCGTCGCGTGCTGGAACGTGCGCCCACTACTGGACCGGCACTCGAGTGAACGCCCCGAGCGACGCACTGCACTGTTCGTGATGGAACTGGCGTGCTACCACATCGATATTGTGGCGCTCAATGAGACTCGGATCACTGAGCTTGAAGCGGATGCTAGCTACCCATTCTACTGGGTGGGCAACGCCGCCTCAGCACCACGTGAACATGGGGTCGGATTTGAAATATCCGATTGCCTAAATGGTCAGCTGGTGGGTGAACCAACAGACATCAGCGCGCGACTGATGTCTGTTCGTCTACAACTCGGAAAAGGTAAGTTTTGCCACTTTTATAAGCACGTACCGTCCTGCCATGTGTTATCTTGATGACACGCGTGATCACTTCTGCACTCAGCTGTCCTCCGTGGTACGGTCTGTGCCGAGGGACGACCGCCTATTTCTGCTGGGTGATTTCAACGCGCGTGTTGGGCGTGATGCATCGGCGTGGACAGATGTTATCGGTGCGCATGGCATTGGCTCAGCGAATGCGAACGGTGACAGGCTGCTCTCACTATGTGACACTCACGGGCACTTGGTTTGCACTGCGTGCGAATGATATAGCAACTTGGACGCACCCACGGAGTGGTCACGCTCACCTGCTCGACTATGTCATCGTACATCAGCTTGATATGTGTGAAGTGCGCATGACACGTGTACTGCGTGGAGCTGAGTGTGGCACTGATCACAAATTGGTGCGGACCAAACTTTACATATATTTTCATAAATCTATGTATTGCACTCCTGCCGTGAATCGGCGTAAATTTAACATTCTCTCCCTCGGTACAGTGGAGAAACGTATTGAGCTGGAGAAGGTGATAATTGCACGCCTGTGTGATGTGGACTGCATAGCCACAGTGGGCGACCTGTGGCACCACATTCGCGACCAGGTGACAGCTGCTACCGAGGAGACCATCGGACGCGCAATCTGTATGCGGCCTGATTGGTTTGATGAGAACAGTGCGACGATTGGCGCATTGGTGTGTGAGAAGAATGCAGCATTTGCTGCACATGTGACAGACCACAGTGACTTGAGGAAGAGGGGTCAGTTTCGCAAATTTCGACGGCGACTGACCCGAGAGCTCCGTCGCATAAAATATACATGCTGGACGGAGAAGGCGAAGCAGATGAAATGCTACGCCGAATGCCGTCAACACAAGGAATTCTTTGACTCCTTGGAGGGGGTGTATGAACCGCCATTGGAGATGCTGAGGACGCTGATCAAGCGCTACCTGCACACAAACTGCAGACATAATACAGAACTGGAGGAAACACTTTGACTGTCTCTTGAACAACCGTTCAGTGATCGACTGGTCTGCTTTGAACGGCCTGAAGCAGCACGATGTGAAGGCGAGTCTTGGGGGACACGCTAACACTGGATGAGACGCAGAAAGCACTTGCGCAACTGCGAAACGGCAAGTGTGCCGGTCTCGACGGGATCCCGCCTGAAGTACTGAAACACGGTGGATCCGCGTTGGTGACTGCGCTGCACCACTTGGCGCAACGCGTGTGGATTGAGGAGTAGGTGCCTCCAGAGCTGACAAGTGCGCTTGTGTTACCACTGTACATGGGCAAAGGGAGCGAGCAATGTTGCACGAATTATCGTGGCATCAACTTGCTGAGTTGTGTGGGCAAGATGGTTGCCCGAATCCTGTTCAACCGCTTCATCAGTCAGGTTGTGGGATCTAACGTGGCGGAAGAGCAGAGTGGATTCTGTTCAGGTCGCAGCACTATAGATATGATGTTTGCGGCTCGTCAGTGCAGAGAACGACACCAGCCATTGTACTCGCTTTTTGTTGATTTCACCAAGGCGTTTGATACGGTGAACCGCGAGGCATTGCGGCTGGTGTTGGGTAAGTTTGGTTGCCCGCGTAAGTTTTAAGTTTAATTGAATGTCTGCACAGTGGTATGTGGGCGAGGGTACAGATGAGTGGCGAGACCTCGGATGACTTTGCAGTTGTCTCTGGTGTGAAGCAAGGCTGTGTCTTAGCTCCTGCCCTGTTTAACCTCTATCTTCATGCCATAATGTCGTGCTTTTGATGCGGCTTGTGCCTACGGTGTTCGTGTGGAGCACCGTATTGATGATGGGTTGCTGTGGTAACGTTATTAATGCCTATTTATATGTAGTCCGCGTGTACTTAACATCTTTTACAACACATCACCAAACCAAATCTACTTTATGGGGAATTGGTTGAGGAGAAACCGTTTTCTACTTTTCCCTTAATCTTTCTTTTTACCTTTCCACTTATTTGTAAACCTTAGTTTATTTAACCCAAATCACAAGATGCTTTGTTTTGACCTACCATTCATTTCGCATCTGAATGAGCTCGTACTGTTTCGACTCATTCTGTGGACTTATTTCTACATCCAATCGCTAGTTCTCTTACCTATTCGTAGGATCCTACTAGTTCCATTACCATTAGGTTCTCACACTGCCCAGAATTCTTACAACCCAAACCTTGCGTTTCGGTAGATACTATCGGCTCGCAGTTAGTTTTATCTGCAGTAACATCTGTCATAGCACGTTTCTTGTTCACCTCTGTTGCCTCCATCTTGCTGCATACTGTTCTGTGACAACGTTCCTCTCGTTAAATACCATCCATATCAGCGACTGTACCCTTTCCTGTTGTGACATTGCTGCTTGTCAACCCTTAGAAACCAGACGCATTTGCACACCAGATCCAGCCGACAATTTCACGCATAAACTACAGTGTGTGTTGTGCCGTTGTTAATTTCCTACTCTACTTCATTCCTTCATCCAACACAGTTTAGTTAACGCACGCTCCACCCGTTCTTGTAATTTTTAGGATGTACCAGAAGGCCAATTTGCTGAAGAAGAAGCGTCGGCCACTTCACTTGATTGTGAACACCAAAGCCGGTGCACGGAATCCTGCTGCTAGGCCTCCTAAAGGTGCGAAGGTCAAGATTGTGGACCGACGCATGAAATCAGACCTCCGTGCCTTGCAAAGAGGCTCAGGTAAAGGCCGGCGCGGGACCAACAATAACAAGGGACGCCGTAAGAAACCAGTACAGTTGTTGGCGCATAAACCACGACGAGGAGGACGCGTAAAGCGCCACAGGGCCTCTGGCCACTAGAGATTCATGAATTTTTGTACATATATCGTTCTACTGTTTGTATCACTTCTGCGCTATTCATTTCGAATGGGCTCATAACGCACGATATCTTGTCTGCTTTTGTTTCTATGCTGTCTCGGTCACTAGTTGGAGGGAATAATCAAAGCTCGTTTCTTTACCGTTTCCGCTTTAAATTCGTTCAAACGCACTACTTATCGTTCCATGCCTTCATTTCTTCGATATATAGCCGGATCCAACGTACTCTGGCACTCGTAGGTGAACCACGGCCTCAGAAACTCAAAGCATTGAGTTTTCTGTATCAGTTTGAACAATACAGTAAGAAGATAAGTACTACAAAGCAGCACCATTTCAGTTCACTTCAATTCAGTTGAACAACTATGATCTGAGCACCGAAGTGTGCTGGATCCAGTTGCCACGACATACCGCAAAAATGACAATAAATAACAACGGAATGATTGTTGGGTTAAATGCAAATAGTACGTAAAGAAAATGGAAGCAAATACGAGGTACGTTAGATTAATCAGAATGGAACGAGCATTAACGATTAGATGCGAATAACTGAATGCAAGAACGTCACCATGTTTGATACGATCTCCAACCATTGGTGTTGACCATCCCGTGACCCCCCATCAACGAAGACGGCACGCACCAGCCTCACCAAGTCTCAGCCAGGTTTTTCATACCTCTACCACATCATGGACTGCCAACATCGCGCCTTCACCCAACTTGGTGCAGCCACGGCGTATGATGCACTCCGAGAAAATCTGTCAACGGCCCTACGGATGACATGGCCTAGCCAACCTAAGCGACTATGATTCAGCAAACCCTCGAGTGAGGCACCAGAAGGCTTATTGTTCGAGCGCAACTGGTGGACCTTAACATTTCTCACTCGGTATTCCCACCAGATGTGAGTAATACCCCGCAAGCCCTGATAGTCAAACACAGTCAAACGTTTAATGTTTTCGCCGCAAACTGGCTGCGTCTCTGATCCACACAGTAAGATCGACCTTTCCGCAACATTATACACTACCTTTCACTGACAGTCTGATGTTCCGTCGTCTACATAGATGCTTGAGCCGTGTCCTGTTGATACGCGAAGTAGTCTCCTCACTGATGTGACCACCAAAGGTGACCGAAAGGTGACTAGACCTTAACAGGGTGCAGTGGTGTGCTTGCTTACCTCCGTGATCCATTGAGTTACACCAGGTGGCATTTTCCAAATGACGCATGCCAGACAACTCAGTAGTCAGGGGTCAGACAAACTCAGTCCTCGGAGCTTAGGGCAAAGTCAATGGCCCTCTTCCTTTGACACCTAGCCATAGGACAAGTCAACGTGTTATAAGCTTATAGCTCGATTGGCATAGAGCACGAGCGTCACGCATTGTCTCTGGCGGTGGGAGGGTATTTTCCGGGGCTCAATGGTTTTATACCCCCGGCCTCAAGCCAGGCAACTTCTGGTCAAATTGGTGCAAGCCGCCAACTCCTACCTGCGGCTGGTCGGTCATAAGACACGTGGGCACTGTTCTAAACCTTTAAAGGCAGTGTGTTACGGGTCTCAAGCAGGTCCCAATGGATCTATACCATCACACTCGCGAGCCGGACTTTCTCCCAACTGCCTTGTGGGTCACCCTATTGAGTCAAAGCCTAGTGGTAGGACACCTCGAACAAAACCCCTCCCTCACAATGGGCAGTCGGAGAGTCATCTGTCCTCTCGACCGCATCAACGGCATCGTTTCGTGTTATCTGATCAATTGCAAACTAACAACATATATAGCTCATTGCAAACTGTATTGTGGAAGCAGATAAACATTTGAATCTTTACAACTCCATCGAAAATGTTAGATTTAGTCTACAGTTTATCAATACCTTGTTATTTTGTCAACTTCTTGTGTGATAGCTTAAAAAAACATTTACCACAGTAAATTGGGGCTCACAAGTGTGAGGTGTCAGTGGGTAGTCGTTATCGGAACATAATATTATAGGAATGTGTGTCCAAAATGTTTAGAAATGCCGTGCTTAGTTTGGTTCCACGATATGCTCCGGGTAACTGTTCTATATATCTACCACTCACCAAGCCTTGGGGTACGCACTGGTCGGTCGAAAGACTACTGACTTGTACCCTTTATTTCCATCCAGAGATAAACTCGCGGATCCGCTGGTGCTGTGAGCCGCCAACAACGCACACTTAGTTTGTGGAGGAGGGCCTCATGGTTCACTTTGTCAAACGCTTTGCTGAAATCGATATCGATCAAGTCCACCGGCTTCCCCTGCTTGACTGCTTATAACCATTGACGCCTCGCTACGAGCGAGTTGTTGATACATGAGAGACCTGGTATGAAACCGTGCTGTGCGTGCGTCAGGAGATCTCTTGAGTGGAACAGCTATAGCAAACTTATCGGCAACGTTGGCAAAAATAGGTGCCAAACAAATTGGCGTCTACTTTTCTCTTTTGCTGGCTTCGCCTTTCGGAATTGGCCTTACCAGCTAGCATCTCTAATCAATCGGCAACGCAGCCTCAGACAGTGACATGTTGAACAGGTCAGTCATGAAGGTGCTGGCCGTTAAGGACTTGAGAACCAAGGGGTGGAGTCCGTCAGGGTTGGTGTCATCAAAGCTAACGAGCAGTTGACGCACTACAATCAAGTGTTAGGGAGCTGGCTACTTAACCCTCAGTTTCATGAATTATGTTAGTTGCCTATTTCTTTGTTTGCGCAGTTACCTGCTTCTCTGCTACATTTTGTACACGCCGCTTTCCTCAGCCTCATTCGCAATCGCTCACAGCTAATTTCAGCCGTCTCATTCTGTGGACATTCTGCCCTCAAGGGCAGAGTTTACAACGCAGCCGTCCGTTCAACTCTCCTATATGGCTGTGAAACCTGGCCCATCAGGTCGACAGACATGAAGTGACTCGTCACATTCGATCATCGCTGCCTTCGCAGCTTAGCTCATGTCTGGTGGGAACACGGCGTGAGCAATGAGCGTGTTCGGCGTCGCGTATTTGGTGCAGGAAGAGCGAGTGAACCGCTCAGCACCATTATATCACGCACCAGGCTCCGATGGCTAGGCCACGTGTTGCGCATGCCAGCACACCGACTCCCGCGACGTGCATTGTTTGCGCGTTGTGGGTGCGGTTAGAAGAGGAGGAGGGGAGGCCAAGTGATGACTTGGTCGAGAGAAATGAAAACCCTCACTTCGAAGTTGGCGTCGGTTGGTGCATCCCGACTGCCTGGCTGGGGTCCTAAGGACGGTGAACACGTTTGGTTGGACACACTTGCTGATATGGCTAGGAGCCGGCCCCAATGGCGTTTGTGTTGTGAGTTCCTTTGTCCATCCCTCTCCTGTTTAGCATCCCCCTCCAATCACGATCTCAATCGTTAGGCATAATATGACTTTCTTTTACGGCAGGCAGCTGTTAGCTCTCCGGAACGATGTCCATCCGTTACTGGGGACTCAGCGGGCGTGCCACTGTTTGTTTTTTTCTTTTCTTGCGTTTTGTATTGCAGCACAATAGCTGAGGTGTTTTCCATCTCCAGCTAACGTGTAATGATGATGATGATGATTGTTCAGCTGACACATATTTATTATACCTGTTTTTATTTTCCTGGTGTGTATCATTCTCACTATCAACTGTTCTGGCATTTGTTTAAACGCATCACTTCTCCACACTGATTGGACGCTACTCGTCGTTTTTAATGGTCGCTCACCAGGTTACCCCCAAGGATTAACTCCGCAGACACTATTCTCTTTGCCGCACTTCATTGGCTCGTAATTTTCGCGATTCTCATTTGCTTGTTCCATTTTGTGTTTTCTCCATGCCTGTTGGATCTCATGCGTTTAGTAGCTTGGATTCGCCCTTGTTTGTAAAGCTATATAACTGGTGCCGTGCTGTAATAGAAAATCTGTTCATCCCGGCTCATCTTGGACTTCTTCTTGCGGTCGTGGGGTGAAGGCGTACTGGGCATCACAACATTTTCTTCTGGCGACGAGAAGTGGTGAAGCATGTTGGTTTCGTTCGAGCAATTGCAGACTTTACTTCAACAGCAACAATTGCAATTTGAGAAATCGCAAAGGCAGCTGATCGAATTGCTCACACAGAAATTGAACCTTCAGACAGAACCCCCGACGACGACGATTGCACGATCATCAGTGGACGCCCTTACTGCATCAATCACAGAATTTGTGTTCGATGGATTGAGTGGTGTAACCTTCGATTCATAGTTTAAGAAGTATGAGGATATTTTTCGAGTGGAGTTTGCTGACCAAGATGATGCCTGGAAAGTTCGATTGTTGTTGAGAAAACTTGGAGCAGTGGAGCATGAACGCCACACAAATTTCGTGTTGCCGAAAAACGCAAGGGACTTCAGCTTTGATGAGACCGTGAGAACTTTGACGCAGATCTTCAGTGAGCAAACCTTTTTGTTCAGCATTCGGTACATTTGTTTGAAGTTGGTCAAACGCGATGTTCATGACTTTGTCACTCATGCTGGGATTGTGAACCGCGAATGTGAACGATTCCAACTGAGCACGATGACTGCGGATCAATTTAAGAGTCTTATTTTTGTGTGCAGTCTCCAGCCCCACGCTGATACCGATATTCGCACACGAATTTTACACAAGCTTGAACGGGAACCACAACTGACGTTGCAGGATATCACTACAGAATGCCAGCGGCTGATTAATTTGAAGCACGATACAAAAATGGTTGAAACTACTGATCACAAAACTGAACCCCAAATTTGTCGTACAGCTATCCGACGTAAAGGAATGAATCGAACTGGATCAACTCAGAAGCTCCCGACCGCATGCTGGATTTGTGGCGCCTGGCATTTTGTGAGAGATTGCACATATAAAACGCACCAATGTCAGAAGTGCTGACGGATTGGCCATAAGGAAACCCACTGCCGAGTTGTGAACAATTTCAGACGTTCTTTTCCCCCAAAAATGCGCGTAAATCCCAATTTTAGAAGAGCCAATTTTCACGGACTGGCCGCAAAGATAATCCTCGCCGCCTTTCGCACAGAACTTGCACGCAAGAGAAAGTACGTGTCAGTAAAAGTCAGTGGTGTTCCTATCACGTTGCAGCTGGATACAGCGTCCGACATTACAATCATCTCGAGATCAGTCTGGAAGAGGCTTGGGAGACCAGCATTCAAACGCACAACCCTGACGGCTAAAAATGCATCTGGGGGACCACTGAGATTAGATGGTGAGATTGAGTGCGAAGTCAGCTTCAATGGCTTGAATCTTCGTGGCACGATTTACTTGGTTACGAGCAGTGACGTAAATCTGCTCGGCATCGATTGGATCGAGAAGCTGCATCTACTCGACGTACCAGGGATTAACTCCGCAGACACTATTCTCTTTGCCGCACTTCATTGGCTCGTAATTTTCGCGATTCTCATTTGCTTGTTCCATTTTGTGTTTTCTCCATGCCTGTTGAATCTCATGCGTTTAGTAGCTTGGATTCGCCCTTGTTTGTAAAGCTATATAACTGGTGCCGTGCTGTAATAGAAAATCTGTTCATCCCGGCTCATCTTGGACTTTTTCTTGCGGTCGTGGGGTGAAGGCGTACTGGGCGTCACAACATCAAGGCTGTCAAGTTCGGTACGGGCGGTGCACGCTCAGGTCTGTACGGACACCTGGTAATTTGCAAACATGTTGGCGAATTGCGCCCCCATTGCGGGCGCACTCTCAGTGCTGGCTAGGGCTGTCCCTCAGCCTCCTTTATCTCTGGTAGGTCGGCTTCACGCACGAAAGATTTTCTTCGGGGCGGTCTTTGCTGCGGTTGTAAGCTGTCCCTCTAACTAGGCGCTTGCTCGTTTTCGTACTGTTTTGCAAATATTGGCTGCTTTTTCAACACACTTCATATTTGTCGACCGAGTAGTTTGCGCCACTGCCGAGCCATCTTACCATATTCCTTGTCGAACCAATGTGGCTTAACCGGTTCGACTTTCCGACACTCGAGAGGCGCAAACCGGTGACCCAATGAGTTTACTCCATTCCTTTTAACTGACCAATAAACCTCAACAACGGTGGATTGCGGCAGAGAACAATTCACTTGGCTTGGCACTCGAGCCAGGTCGTCGAAATCCATCTTCCGGTAGTTGTAAGCTAGTTGCAGTGTGTGCGGTTGCTGAAATCGCAGCTCATTGAGGACCGTGTTGTTGCTTGCCGCTAGAGACTCCATGATCCGAAGGTAAAACACATGTTGTTCCTAGCTGGTTAACATGAAATCTAAGCACGATGGGGTTATGCGCATCAGTTCGCAGATGTGCTGTGCTGCCCAGTTTCATGTACCATACCAGCGAACTTTGCTTTGTACTTCAGGTAAACGTATTCGAGGACAATTGAAGTTGCTTGTGAGTAGAAAATGGAGTGACTTGTGTCCTCCCGGAAACGGGGCAGCTACTCAAAACCACGGCTCAGGGGACTTCGATAAAATGCACCTAGTAGCAACTTCCTTCGCCTGAGATGTATGGAGCACCACAACTACTCACGTAAGACATCTTCACTTATGCGCTCGTTCATAAGTCTCCTACACGGAGACGACCGGAAATAGAGCAATACGCCATCGCGACATTCGACAGCTTACCTCACGGAATCACTAGTAGGAACTAAACCCAACTTCCTGCATGAGTACCTCATCGTTCAACTACATCTGCGAGTCCCACTACATCTGTTCCTTCGAAAGCAACGAAGCGGCACAGCTTCTCGCGCTTGTTCATAAAACTGCAGACATTGGTGAAGGTACACGCAGGCCGTGGTAGGAACTACCGTGCGTATCTGAAGAATGAGCTACCGGTTTATCCGCATTCAGATACGTGTTGTAACGATCTGAAAATTTACGATACGTAGGTTTGTTTCTCCCTCACCGGCTCGGCGCTTTATTTCGATGATGGCACACTTGAGGCGCTCTCAGTCAGCTGGATCTATATCCGAACGAATACACACCCTCACCTCACAGTTAGCCGAAATGATATTAGCTTCTGGCTGGCCTCGTCAGCAAATCTTACCCGCATAGGTCAGCCCTTTACAGCACTTTTTGCCGAGGCGGATGATTTGTTTCACTTTCACTCCGTCCTCACCCACATCCAGGAGCCTGTCGACCACGCTTCATAAAAGCTTTACGTCATGATCAGTAGCGTGCCTGAGGATTTGAATCGCTGGACACAGGTGCGTGAAAATGCATCAGATTTGATCGTTTCTTATCATTCGGAGTTTTCCTGCGGAAGATGGGTGGCCTCGAGCTTTGCTTAACCTGGCTTGTTGTTGGTCACTACCGGGAAGCTTCTCTTCGCCGTACGGGTCCTTCCGCCTTTGAGTTTTCCATGGCTCCGCAGCCGTCAGACATTCATCTGTGTCTTTACAGCTAACAGAGCGCAAAATTAATGTATCGTTGGCTTCAGTTAGTGTCATGTCTCAAAAAATATTAGGATGACGAGGTAGTCAGAAGAAGGAGAAGGGCAGGATTGCTGGGTTGAACCTTGGATGGAATCTATTCCATTTTGCGTGACAATATGTCTGAAGTTGCTTACAGTTAAAGAATTATGGCTGCAATGTGCATTAGTAGACGCTATACGTTTCTTTGATTGCGTTGGGTTATGACAATCGTTGCATAAAATTGATGAAATCACCTTGGATGGAACGCAAAGGGCGATAGGAATCGGCAGGTAATCCAGTACACCAAATATGAACGCTAGCACGTCTTCCTTGTCTCCTCAGTGTACAGATGTCTTTCGGTTTCTCCCTAAACGTTCCTCGCGCGCTTCAACTTTGTAGGTTAATGGCTGAGTGTAGTCGATCTAATCACAAGTGTTTCTGGACTTATGTTGTACCTAGATGACGGATTCAGTTTGTTTTCGTAGATTGGTGTAAATATTACACCTGAATTTTTGCTGTCTTACTGGGTTTCGTTTATCTGAAACTATGCAAAGCCGTGGCTATTCACTTCTGTCTAAGAACTATGACCCGAACAGTGACTTTCTTCGGGTTTAGTTCTCATGATCCGCGACGCCGTGCTAAATACCTAACGATTGTGACACGATGAGGTATGACTCAATTTACATTGAAGAGAAAAGCAGCTACTAATAATACTGGTTAAAAAGGCTCCGACTAAATGTTTGTAGGTGGATGCATGACGCCGAATTCGAAGCAACATTCTATAACTGTACACTTCGTTTACTGACCTAAGCTCCCCTCACTAGCGTTTGCCAGTATCACACGGTTACTACAATCATGTATTTTGTACATCGGCGTCATGATGTCTGCTAATGATTACAAAATAACTTAAAACAGTGTCGGCTTCAGGAATTGAAAATGTATGAGTCGCATGGTCATCCACCACTTCAACTTCTCGGTGCATTGCTGAGCCCAAGGAATGTATGTTTGGCACCCATCGAGTACAGTCCGACTGTTGGGGAAGGAAGAGGGAATGTGAAGGGGAATGAGATATCATTCATGATGTTATCCGTGTCTCACCTTTTTACTTTTAGCCCCATAAATTTTGGCGTCGTAACCTCGTAATTTCACTGCGGCTTTTCTAAAACACGAAGCGACCAACCGTTGCTTTTCGAATTGTTTAGCGCCCATTCCATGTAATCTACTTGTGCTGATTATTGGGGTTACTTGCCTTACGTTGCATCTATACTAATCCTTTGGCTTCCAGCCGGCTTAGTGTCTACTTTGTGCTTTTGTTTGCTCTCTCTGGTCAAGGCCCGTAATAATTTGAGGATGCTTGTTATCATCTTTATAAGTGACAACTTCTTCGTATGAATAGTTGACTTTGTTTTCACTTGATCTTGTGACTTGCAGGAGTCCTACCACCTGTATGGCTTCTACACCATAAAATTTTTTCACGAGTCACTTATTCCCCTCCATTGTTCTATGTTTTACTCTCTGAACTCGTCGCCAACTTTGGGGCTGCCAAATAAACTTATCTTCGTTGCTCTCACGGGAATCCGTGAAACCTGTTGAGACAGTGTGTCCGTAGTCATCAGCAACGGTTGGGCTGAATACAGTGTTGGCACTCCCCTTGCTCAACGGTTCCACGATGTCTCGTCTATAAACAAAAAACAAGCCTGTTTATGAATGATCGTTAAAAGACAACAATATGCATAATCAGTTGTGTCCTCTGGAGGTCGTCGAACAAACTGACACGGAATTATGCGCTGATGAGCTATTTTCTATTCAGTCGTGATTCCTGGTGGATTTCGTCTGGCCTTCCTCCTTGTGAGCGCAGGTCTGTGCCCCAATATTGGCTGCTAACCTACGTACAACTTTCTAATGGTGTCATAGAAACTATCTATTTTAGGACAAAAAACTAATCAAGGTTCACCTAAGCAAATCATTGCGACCTGGAATCACTCACATCTCGTATGCTTCGGTCTTTCACGATACCAGAATTTGTAGCCCTCTCTAGCTTGTTTGTTCAGATTTGTCATCATGAATTGTCTGCGCTCCTTCTTAGACATTCCCTTCGTGTAAGACCCTCCGTCATACGCCTCTGACCAGATGTTGGCAAGTTTGACGGCAGGGTGTTCTTTGTCCATATTTTGAAGACCGACGAGCACTGCAGTTGGATCCGATACAGTATTCTCCATCCGCGGTATCTTCTTGAGCTATAGTGAGAGGTGAACAGACGGTAGTATATGATTGAAGCTACCTATAACTCAACAATACCCAGAGATACTGGGGGATACTATTTTCGATACACAACTAATTGTCCAACTGCAAAAATTGTTGGTATTTGTCACCTTGGTAGATGGCAATGATCTCTTCATTGCACCCACATTATGTACCTATTGGCTACTCATTTACCAACCACCGTTCGTCCTGTACAGCGTGAGTCCTGTACGCTCGCTCAGGGTTCGATTAGCTTTGTTCCCTACTGAGTCCTTCTATTCTTCTTGGATATGGTCTGAACGCGTGCTTTGCCCACCCCTGTAACATCCTAATAGTCTTTTTTTTAACTGATGGATGTCTAGCTGGGTGCATTTTGCAGTCACACTTCCCACGCACCACTATCCGTTTGTTTTGTATCCTGTTTGCGTTCGTTCTCTTACCGATGGTAGAGTCTGATGTTTGTCTCACGTTCAAATTTCGCTTTCATCCTCTTTAAGCAACTCGGTGTTTTGATATAGAAACAAATATTGGTAGTCGGTATACTCTAAGCTTAGTACTTTTCTGAAAACGTTTCGTCATCAACCGAGGGGACATCATCAGTGCGTGGCGGGGCTGAGCGGGACGCGGCGTTGATGAGTGTGCGTGGGGTAGTTGTGTGCGTGTCGTTGTTCGACGGGCACGTGACCATCGAAATTGACCTCTGATTCTTACTTCGTGAGGTCAGCACGTGTGCCTCAGCTATTTGCGTCGTCGTCCGATGTGTTCGACTGACATCCTGTTCCGTTAGGTTTGACTGATTAAGTTAGTGATCTTTTACCCGGTTTACTGTCAAGTCAAGCTCTGTGTACCCGGATGGGCACATTTTCAGCACTTGTAAGCTACAGATGAGTTAAAATGACATCATCGAAAATACAAATTTTTATAACTGGATAACTAACAGGTGCACTGGTGTCACTTGAATAAGCGGATCCGCATTCTAGGGCAACGAACGCATATTGCTAAGCAGAATCCTCATGATTTGTACTCAGCAGGCAGAGTAGAGTTTAGCGAAAACAAAGCTTCATAATTGGTTCCAGAATTTCATGGCGAAAAGCAATAGATCGCGAATCTTTCGCAGCATCTCAACCTAGAATTCAAAATCGGTCTCTGTTACCTCGGAATTGGTTTGGACAAAGTTATCAATATACTCTTACAAAACAGATATATCCGCAGTAAACAAAGCAAAAATAAATGATGTTCAGCGAAACTGCAACGGCCAGAGATAAGTTTTGTTAAGCACGTGCTCGGACTGACGACCCGTCTACCCAGACGACCAATCATAGGGATTTCGCCTCGGTTGGGGAAGAAACGTGTGCAGCAAAACTGAAAAATTCATTGTTTTTTCATGTGCCTAAACAGTGTGTCATCAGCACGTCTTGCCGGTGCTCCACCGCCACGCGGCGGATACCAGTGGCACGGACACTAGGCTTACTGTAAAAATCGCCCGCACCTGCGCAATCTCGAACTGGCGATACATGGATTACAAGCCAGCTGCCTGAATTACTCGGTCATTCACTGATCGTCGTGGGTGTGGGTTAGTTTGTAAATTGATCGCGTACGCTTGTGGATTCGTAGCTCAATACAACGGTCGCCAAACTTGTCGTGTATGCAGGTAGTATCAAGGTGAGCCTTGAAGGGCTGTCGCTTCTTGACGTTCCTTTTTTCTCACTGCTCGAAAATTCATCTTTCCAGTTGAATCTACATTGCCACCGACTTCTGGTTGCTCAAATCCCAAACACATTCCCTTACCCATTCGTCCCTGGCTTCAAACGTCACGTGCTCCGTAGAATTCCACAAATTTCTTAGGGCTTGTTTCCAGGTTTGAAGGGTTGCTTTTAGCTCTAGTACATCTCTATTCATCATGACCTTACTATGGAAACTGAAGGGAGTCGCAGTATGCGTGGAGTTACTTACAATTATCGATATGCTAGCTCATTAGAGCGGATCCCGACGTATGTGAGATCGCGGTTCCATCTCGTTCCCTATGTACGGTTAAAACTCTACTGTACTACTCACCTTATCCTGTAAAAGAATCCAATTTTCTACCCCGAGTTTTCGTGTCAACAAAACTGGGTCCGAGTTCTTCCAGTGATAGCGCCTGTTGAGAAATTGAAATGTTTCCCAATCAGTTTAAAAATTGACAGCGCGTATACTGTATAAATTGACTATGTGGCCAGGTCACATAATAGTTACAGATTACTTGGGAGAATCGGGCTTTGAGTGCTTGCAAAGCTCAATTCCCACTATTTTGTATTACCCAATCTTCTGGCTCAGGTGAACTGTCGCTCGGTTGGTTTGAGTGGCTAGTGTACTTTGCGACAATTTAACTGATCGATATACTGTTTGTCCTCCAGGGCTGTTATGCTACTTCGTTGCTTGGAGTCAGATATGTTTCGTGTCTTTAGTAACCCTCTTCAATCATGCGCGTAGTAAACTAACGTTTACCAACAGAATGGTACGTAATGCTTAGGTGTTCCTAATTCTCCAGCGCGAGGAGACATCAATTGGGTTAGTCCCTGGCAAGGTGCACAAGTGAGCAGCCTGAATGGGACGCGATAACCGATTCTGTACTTCCATTCACATAATTCAGAAACTAAATCTCGCATTGTATCGAACAGACAGAGCAGGTTTAGGGTGCGCACAGAGGACACGCTCCCAAGTGAGCCCAGCTTTACGTGAAATATTTTTGGGCGGAGTGCATAAACAGGCTTATCCTATGCCACCAAGATTTGCGAGAGAAATCTGTAGACTGACCTTCATAACAGGGGTCAACTTTCCTACCTTTATTTTTTGCACGTTTATTGAATCCGGGTCTGAGGTCTGATCGCAAGAACTCCATTTAACATACACAAACACCCTCCGAGCAGTGAAGTGCATCAATATACGAATGGATGTGCCAAAGCAAATAGGAGATAATGTAGAAATATAAGCGGAAAATAAATCTTATTGCAAGATAATAAACAAGAAATAAGGGAGAGTGTATGAATTCCCCTGATTGCAACTGTACCGTGAGGTGTCAGTAATGGCAGTCTTTAGAATCTAACTCCAGGAAACAGTACGGACTTAAATTCTCAGTCCAAATCTTCATCCAATATTATTGGTTAACTACTGTGGTGCTTCGAGCATCAAGCAAACAGAGTGATGTAGATTGACGAGAAGACTTGCGGACGATCGCAATTCATGTCGGCTATCGTCAGACCCTGATTAAAACTAGTATTGAAAGACCGTTCGCAAGAATCATTTGTCGAAGTCATTTAGTATGCTAATGTTTCACTATCGCAATGTGCGAACCATCAATCCAAACGGCTATCTGCAGAGTTGATGCGACATTTAGTAGATGTGAGTCAATCAACTAATTCCAGTGCATGTTTGCAAACTGTCAGGAATAGGGGCATAACGCTGACCCGGTCCTGTAGGGATGCAGCATGCTTTGCATCTACACGTATATGCAGAAGTACACAGTGTTCTGCTACCGCATTATCATAGACTGCTGGCAAAGCATCTGGCCTTGAACCCGGAGTTACCATGCTTTCCGCGTACTCTAGATTTGTCAGCATATCATCTGGAAGAGCTTCTGTCTCAGAAGCAGAGCCAGAACAAAGCATATTGAACATTTTGAAAGTAAAGCTGAAGAGAGATATAGGGTGGTCATAGACCCTACCATAAATCGTTCATAGTGAATACCAGACCGGTACTTAGGTGAAGGATTCTTTTCGAGTTAACTCTCCACAGACCCTCACGTTTACATGATTGGTTATATGTAGAAGTGCCGGACAGGTCTGACTATTGATTACACGGTTCGATAATTTGCAGGTTATGTAGTCAGTCAACAAATGGAATAGTAGGTATCACCATTCGAAAAAATCAAGGTCGATAACTCTACTGATAAGGAAATAGTTACTGCATATTACCGAATGTAAGCCGATGATTTTTGAACAAGTTTACATTTCTGTAGTAGGCTTATAAAAAGGTTATATGCAATTTTTAAATCACATGCAAAATTCACCTAGGAATACACTTTACACCTCTGGTTTCTTTAAAAGGACACAGCTTCGTCAACCCGATTTTATTATGCCAGTCTAAAGTGCTACTCTCGTCCATCCATCCTTTCGCGTGAGCTCGCAATTATATGAACCTTGGGAACTTCGCTCCTTTCTGCAGCGTCTTACGCTTAAAACTAATGTAAGTTGCCAAACGAGAACCATCTGCCATACACCCCGAAACAACTTTGAACCCTATCTTCTCGTCTCTACAGAACTGTTTTAGCACCCTTCCGCTCCACCGTGCGATTTGAAAGTATATCAAAGCACACGGGCGTCTCGTCCACATTTCCAATTTTCGACAATCCAAAATCGTATTGCTTTCTCAGCTGAATCAGGAGCCTTGGAAAAGATTCAGCTTTAATTTCCACTTCCTTCGACTGCTCCTGTGCTAGCTTTGTGCGGGTCCACAGACACATTTGGAATCATTTCGTAAAACGACTGCGCCATCCCGAGGAAGCAACAAAATTCCTCGGTTTTGATAGATGGAATTCAGTATATTTTAACATTCTGAGCACCCTGATCCGAATGTTCGTTCGGGTAACAATTAACCTGCTGTGCCGTGACTCCATAACCCAATGCGCTAACTTTTCCTCACGCGCAGGAAACATGGTTCCTCTATCTCGTGTTAGTGACAACTCGTTATTCTTTCACTTGCTTTTCATTCACGCTGAGATGTATGCAGCCATACAATTATTGGACTGCTCGGCAAACGCGACAACTTCCAATTTAAAGCCAGCAACATATACACATGCCTTCTGTTGAGACATTTTCTCACCTTTCCACGGCTTTGGAAGATCGCACGAAATGTGTTCACATTCCCTCTCATCTGGATCACGTGACCTCGCGTTAGAGTAATTTTGGGTGACGAATCCAATCGCCCATACATTATGCTACGCTAGGCGATTCGGTGCATTAGAAATGTGTGTTCCCGCACCACTGATCGTGAATGTCTGTCTGACCCACTGCTCTAATGTGATTCATATGAACGAGGTCCTTGACTGTTATTGTGTTGGAACTGAAGAGACAATACGAAATGTTGACATCTGCCAGTGTTCGTCGTCTTACGGCATTATGCTAGCGGTGTCTGACATTCCCATTCACCTAACCTGTCTTAACTGTTTCGTGTGCTTTGACTTCTGATCGATACACCGTCCAATGCGGCGAAAGTCTTTGTTCTGACGGTTCTACCCCCCAACTGACCACGCTCATATTACATTACGGTCGCCACAACTGACCAATAGTAGGTTACGTTTCGCTTGAACACACTCAAGTGGAAGCAGATAGTGATGAAGTCAAAAGCGTGGCGAAACACTGTCATTTACATTGTTACTGATATTTCTCGGGGTCGGTTAATACAGGGACTTACGAATTTAGACAACTTTAATGCTGCAAAGTCATACTATCGGCTTATCTATGGACGGACTTATATTCGGTACTATATGCGGTTCTTGTTGGCCAAGATAACAAAATAGGCCGCACTTACTTATTTTGGATACATAACTAGGGTTTCAAGTGGTGAAGGTAATCGATAGCAGTTGTTTGCGGAAGCATCACGAGTAACGTTCAGACAATGCGTAAAGCATTTTGAAGTCGTCCTCTGATGCTGCATGGCCTTACTCAAGGGTGTGTGACAAGACTGCGTTGGTTAAAGACTTCATTTTGCCCCTGTAGAGCCACATTGGGATATGTTCGCGGATCTTCTGGGAAAAATGCATCGAAGTGGGACCGACGTATCGTACACCACAAGATCGCAAGTATTGATAAACAAGCATTAATCGAGACAACGAGTTAGTTTATCTTTCAATGGCCTGAGAAGAAGTGGCTTGCTGTAATAAATTATTCTCTAATGAGCCGCGGATATCCACACGGCAGCGTATTCTAGGCGTCAGGACAACATGTACGCTGCAGCATTGCCGTTGGAATTTCTTTCCTCGGGGCAATGCTCCAAAATGGATGACTTCGTGTACTCTCAGAAGCTTCCGGCTAGATTTGTCCGGGCATTCATTTTCTCTTCCACCTTCTACCCATCATGTAAATGTAAGGATCTCACGAGAGTTTACTCGGAAAGAACTTATCCGGGAATCAGATAAAAACAAAAAAGGGAAAATATATAACGATGGTTGAAAGCTGGGCTGAAGGGAATCGCCTACCCGTGCGGTCGATCAGGCAATCGATCGAGCGGACGAATGCATTTTCAAACACTCGGCTAATTGGACTTTTGCCTCAGAGTTGAGAGGACAGTGTTTTCGGCGGCATTTTCTGGCTACATTGGCAGAGTTTTTGTTAACACGTTTTTCGTGGTCAAGGCTGTTGGAATTATGATTTTTCTTCGGCTGGGCTAAAATTGCTGCGGAGAAATTTCTGGGTGGTTAATTCGGAATAGCGAAACAGGGAAGATTCTAACAATGGCGACGGAGATGGGATTTCCTGCCTATACAGCCAATCGACTCCAACGATGGGCACTTACATTGCTGGGTATGATTTTGAAATCCGTTATCAGTCAACGAACTCGCTGGGCCAAGCAGATGCGTTGTCACGCCTCATTGATTCCCAGCAACAAGAACACGAGGACACCATCATTGCCTCAGTTGAGATCGAACCTGATGTCAAATTCCTGGTGAACGAGGCACTACATGGTATGCCAGTTACGGCCGATGCTGTGCGGGCCGAAACGCTTCGAGACCCAATCCTGAAGAAGGGGACACACTTCCACAGAACCAGCTGGCCACGTTCGTGCTCATCTGCCGAAATGCAGCAGTTCTATCAGCGAAGACATTCGCTTTCCATTGTGGACGATTGCATCATGTTCTCAGACAGAGTAGTCATCCCGCAGGCGTTGCAACAAAGAGTGCTGCGACAATTCCATGCAGGACATCCAGGGCTCAACCGAATGAAAGCGCTTGCCAGAAGTTATGTGTATTGGCCGTTTATGGACAGGCAGCTGGAGCAGCTAGCTAAAAGTTGTGGCAACTGCGCTACCGCCTCAAGGGCACCGCCAAAGACTGAACTCCGCTCATGGCCTAAACCAACTAAACCTTGGAGTCGTGTTCATGTA